ACTTCTGTCTTTACATGAAGCGCCTTTGTCCCTGGTCAGCGATGGCAGATGCAATAATTTGAAACAAAATTAATGTAAATATCTTTTTATTTAAATGATTTTTGGTTCACGTTTTTTTTTTCTTTTCCTTTTTTTTGGTTCAATTTACTCCTATAGTAATATATATATTTACAAGCGTATAAAATTATATTTCAGTTTTCGGTAAATTTTAACATATAAATAATAATCGTAAAAACTAAAAAAAAAACCAAGGATTAAATACTTTTCATAACTTTTTGTTATAATTTTTTGGTGACATTTCTTTATATAATAGTTTTTCGTTTTATCTTTGCGTTCTAATTATACAATTTTTATTTAATAAAAACTTACTATTTCTTGTTCCTTCTCTTTCCTCCGATATTATTATTTTACATTAACAATGAAAGTTCTTAGGATTGTATATATATATATATATATATATATATATGTATATATATATATATAATTTATCTTTTTATTATTTGGTGTGGATTGGTGTGGCAATCAAAACTTAGATGACTAATTAATTATTTTCCATTTCCTTTTCTTTTCTTTTTTTTTTGTTGTTTTTTTTTTTTTTTATTGTAACTGTTTTTATTTATTTAATTTATTATTGGTTTAAGAGGAAGCAAATTTAATCAATAACATCTTCGTCGTTATCCTCTCCTCCTTCGGTATTGCCATTGGAGCCCATTAAGCCATTCGAACCATTTGCACCGTCACCTATGTCCACGTGTTGGTGACTGTTAAGGGGCGACTTGGTATCGGTTGCATTATCGTGATGGTTCATGAGTAAATTATTATTTAGTAACACATGATTGTTATTATTATGGAAATTATGCAGATTTGTGTTGAGATTGCCGCTATTGGACGAACTGCTGTTACTGCCACCGCCACCGGAGAAATGATGTAGATGATGCTGGTGCTGATTGAGCAGAGCCCCCAGGGCGTTTTCTCAAACAACATCAGTCACACCGGTGTATTGACAGGCCGAGAGGCCAGCCGAATTGGAGCGCGATACTGGCGAGGGCGCCGAATATGGGCTAGCGAAGCCGGTTGTATGCTGTTTAGCCTTTAAACGTAGGGTAGCAATACTCGATGACATGCTCGACGTCATACAGGGTTCAGCTGCAGCGCGATACATATACGGATTGGCAGGTGCAGTATACGGACAAGGGGCGGCTCCGACATTTGAATTGGTCAAAGTACTGCCCATCGTACCGGGCAGCATAGAGTTGTTCATGCTTACGGCTACACCGCTAGCACCCGTATTAAAACAATTTACCGAATTCTGATGATGATTAGTTGTCACCATCGAACCAAGAGGATTCACTGGCCAGGGGAAAGGCTTAGTGCCGAGCGGGGAGGGTACTTTAGTCCAATTATTATACGTATACGATGAGTATAGGGAATCATCCGCAAACGGTTGCATGAATTGTGTACCAAAACCGGATTTAAAATCAGCTGCAGCTACCGCTGCATTCATGGCGTTACGTTCACGTTTACGCCATTTGGCGCGACGATTTTTAAACCACACCTATAAAGATATAATAAAAAATTGAAAGATTATATAAAATCGTCAATACTGGCTCCACTAACAACAAATCGTCCCGTCCCATCTCTTTTTACTACTAGGCCCACTAAACGTAAATCTGCTTCCCTCATCAATTATATTAAAAATAAAGAAGTCCTATCTCTATCTGATTCTTGGATTTTTAATTCAAAATAGTGAAAAACGATGACCCAATTATTAATTGCATAATGAGGTGTCGTTATCCTCATTATCCCCATTGCTTTTAAATTATTTTACTTTTTTTTATCATTTTAATTTATTTTTGTTTATTATATTTTTTCTCTTATTTCATTTTTTAATTCATTTTATTTAATCAATTTTCTTAAATTACTTTAAAAGCATACGATTTTCCTTTCCATTCCTTTCACTTTGTTTTGTAGATTTTAAAATGAAAATTTATTTGTTTTTCACTAACTTACTTTGGCTAACCTCCTCCACCATCCGCTCATCTGACTATTAAATATAAAAGGAAAACATTTGTACAAGTTTTTTTTTTCATTTTTTTTTTTTTTTTTTTTTTGCTTCCTTTTTTGCTCACTGTGCTTTCCGTTAGTTATTATGGCCGCTTCATTTTAAATGTATATGCATGTGTATATATATATGTTATTACACTGCGTTTATGCGCGATTCAGTTTTTCGTTTTTGTTTGCTTCCTCTGTCGTGTCGTTGGTTTTTATTTTAAATTATTACAAAAGCTCTTAATATAAAGAACGTTACCCTATGTCCCACATCTCGAGCCTATATACACACAATCGAGTAAAGTATATATTATGTGCATGTACGTAAGAAAGATAAAGAAAACAAAGAAAAAAAAAAAAAGCAAGAGACAGAAAGGGGAACTGGCGTAAAATACGCATGTGCACACACATACGCACACATATTTGATAATTATTAGATAAAAATTACGTATACATAAATATTTATGCACATGTATATACATATATATATGTATTAACATGCGTTTGTATGCGAACATGAATTTAAGGACACAACTCTTCCGGTATAGACTTGAAAAACATTTTCATTTGTTATTTTTGTTCTTGTTGTTATTTCATTTCGTTTTAATAGTCATTCACTTTTTGTACACATACACAGGGTACACAACACATCAGTTCGTATAACTTTGATTATGTATATATATCTGTAGCGTGGTAGTGCAAATATATATAAATAAATTTATGTATTTATATATAAATTATGGGTGGGTGTGTGTGTGTGTTTGTGTGTTTATGTGTGTTTGTGTGTTTGTAACCCTAAATGAACGTTAAGCCACCCCCACAAATAAAACGTAAAGAAAAAGAGCAAAGACTCCATTTCATAATAAATATAACGTTATTTGTTGTACTTATATGCATGAGTGTATGGGTGTGTGTGTGTGTGTATGTGTGTACGAAGTAGAAAATAAATCAAAATATTTATTTACAAAGCAAAGCAACTGAGAAACCCTGAAAATGCATACACAGACGATGGAAGTGCAATAGAGGAAGAGAGAAAAAGAAAAATTATTTTCGTTTCAGGTAATATTTCACAAAAAAGTGGCAATTTTTCCTTCTTTATTTATTTGTTTCTTTTCGGGAAAGTAAATAAATGTAAGAGCATAGCCACAGAAAAAATTTTATATTTTTCTTTTCTTGCTGGATATGGCTTGAAAATTCACTGAAAGTTCACGTCGGGAGAAAGCCTTACATAACCGCTAACTGAAAACATTTTACATTGCATTGCGGCCGTACCATAGGTTTTGTATGTATACTGTAGACGATTTTCAATCTCGATCGATATAAATAAATAGTCATTACACACATAACGCATTAAGAGTCAAATGTCATATGAAACATTTACACTCTACAGCCTTTCAAGGTATGGGGCACATTGAGTTTGTTGGAATGTAAGGAGCATTCAAAAGTATGTGAGAGACACTGCTCTTATCATGCTCTTATTATATTTGATCGGTTCCGAATCATTTCTTGTCTGTCTGTTCGTCTGCTCGATGTCTGCTCATTTGTTTTTGTTTTCAATCCGCAGTCCGCAATTTCTGCAACATTTCGATGATGTTTGGTGTTTGATTTTGACCGAAAGGCGAAGGTTATTAAGAGTGGATTTAAAGGACCATTCTTACCATCACTTCCCAAATGATACCCTATTTTTGACATGGTCTTTTTTTATGAAAGAAAACAAATAACGCAACATTCCCCTCTAACCTATAAATCTTCTTATTAATAATAAAATAAGTCTATACGACGACATATTTCATTCATTAGTCCGAAGCGGTAATTTTATCTGTGAATTTGCTGCGTTGCGATTGGTTAACGTAACTCCAGTTGCAGCGGATCATTTTATGTAAAGTGCTTTTTTATGGCAGTAAAATCTTATTGTTGGTAAAAACGTTAACAAATTTGGATTAAGTCGGTTCGGGTTGGCAAGTCTCTCTTATACAAACATGTTTCTGCATTGACTTGATAATGAGGCTCGGTTTTTGTATAAAAACCATAAAAGTGAGTGTGTTGAGAGATGCAGTGTAGAGTATTGTGCAGTTGACCCTGTCCGACTACAGTGTTTTGATTTGTTTTGCTCTTTCAGTTTTAATGCTAAGCAATTAGTTCTGCGGGTACAGTTTATCTTTGATGGACCATTATCATCATGGAAACATTATCTGACTATGTTCGCTATATTCTCGTCAACTTTATCTTCTTCGAAAAAATTTCGTAAACATACGATCAGACATAAAAAGCTCCAGGGGCATCATTCGATCATTGTCTTGATAGGAAAAATGTATTCTTCTGTTCTCTAAAACGATTATACAAAATGATTTCGAGAGCGCTCTCTCTAGGTGAATTCGGATCTTCAGCATCTTTGGATAGGAAAGCAGCAAAGTAGCGTACCTTAGACAAAAGCATGCTAGATGGGAATGTGTTTTAAACGCAACGCCTTGGCACAAACTACAGAAACATATGTATTCTAAATTATTGTTCTTTCTTCCATTCTTGTCTCACAACACGTGGTCCATGGTCTCTAATAATACTTTTATACTCGACATACTTGTTTCCTGCCATCCCGTTTATCAAGCATACTTTTAAACTTTTAATTCTAGAGTATTGAAGCCACTTCTAAGCACATTAGCGTAGTTGATAAGAGCAAGCAAAAAAAATATAAAAAAAAAATCTAATAAATTTTGTCATTGTCATCGATCTCGTCAATTGTCATTTTCACGTATCATTTGCTGACACCAAAATGAAGTTGCCAACTGGATTAGTATGCGGACGACAGACAATGAATCTTTATGTCGATATAAAATTGCAAATTGATGAGTCTCTTCAGGAGTGATAGTGTAATGTAAGTAGAAAATAAAATATAAAAAAACAGAAGCATAACTCGCTTCACGTGCAACCGACTGACTATCAAAGTTGACTCAAGTCGTAAAAAAACTCTTAATTGGTTTCGATGAAAGCAAACGATGATGATGATAAACTGGGATGCAAAGAAAACAAAAACAACAATGAGGTGTTTTTGTTTTTTTTTTTTAATTTTTAGGTAATGCTTCATCAGGCATGTAAGCCGGATAAGGAGAAAAAAAATTGAATTTTATTTTGCTGTGTTTTCGTTTTTCAATACCCCAGAGACATTGAGACTTTGTAGGGATAGTGGAGGTTTTTTTTTTCATCATTTGCGAAGAAAAATGTTACTTTAGGGTTAGGGTTTGATTGATGACAAAGGAAAAAAATTAACAATTTTTTTATGTGCAAAGATCTGATATTTGTTGTTGGACACTAATTGTTAAATAAAGATTTTCGTAGAGATTTCGCATCAACTAAAGGACGGTTACGAAAAAAGTGGCAAAGCAAATGTCTTCCTCTATCCTCGAACTACGTTGGCGTACTATGAAAAATTCCGAATTCGATATGCATTGATGTTCGCTAGTGAGGACGAACGCTGGTATCTTAATTGTCTTCTAATGATTTACTCGCTTTAACTGATTTAATGATTTCGGAATTTTCCCATAAAGTAAATATTTGTTAGAAATAAAAAAAAAAAAAAGAGTTCTTCGCCATAAAACGGAACGACTTCTCTTCATCGTTCAGTCTTTATTATCCCTTGTTCTCAATTAGAATTTTAATTAACCGTACGTGTCGGCGCATGTTATCGTTTAGCTGCGCTTGTTGTGTACACTAAAAATTCTTTATAAATTTACTTTGGATAATAAGTCATAAGTTTCCGAGATTTCCGAGCGTTTAATTTGAACCTTATTGCTTGTTTGCCTTACAGCAAACCGTGGCGATACACCGGTCGCGCTGATAAATTTCATCCCTGCACTTGCTGACATGTTATTTGCTTTCATTTACTTGACGCCGCACTTTGAAAAAAATTACCCTACAATTATACACGTTTTTTACAGCCCCAACAAGCAAGCCGTGTCTGTTCAGATTTTAAGTGTAAAATTATCATTTTACGGTTACCTCACACAGCCAGTTTAATTACATTAGACACATGGAGGTCAGCGAAGCAAAAAGATCAGTGGGAAATAGTGCGATGCGTATGTAGGTATGCACTTTTCTACTCCTTTTTTGCGTCCTACCGAAGCAAAACGAATTCAAATTCAGCAGGGTTCAGGTGATACCTTTGAAAATCTTTATCGCTACTGCAGGTTGTGAGTAATGCGGAAAAAACACATAAATCGAGAATATTATCCCTTTTCGGCATACTGTTAGAATGTCCGTGAACACATTTAGCCCGTTTTCAATACTAGCCTGCGTGGAAGATTTTGCCAAATCTTTCCTAAATTTAAAGGCGACACCGAAGACCAGATGAATACAACCAAGATTCATGATACCGACACACTTAATGGGAGTATTCTATAAGCTTCCTTCCAGGTTTCGTAAAAGTTTCGAGGAATAAATGCATTGACCCGCTTCCTTCAGTGATCGGTTCAAAAAAAACATGCGGAGATTCTAAGGCCGTATTTTGTAAAC